TGGAAAGTTTACTACGTTTTATCACTTTTCCTTGAAAATGTGAAGGAAATCACTTTCTGGATGCATGGTGGATAACAGCAAATTGCAGTTAAATGATGCATACATAATGCCTAGGCTGGCGTTGATGTCGTCACATTGACATCACCTGCTCTATCAGATAGGGCAGGTGCCTGAACACAGACGGCCAAAGCTTGGCTGAATGAAGTAAAGATGACATGTGAATAGACAATTACTTTTTGTTTTCTGATATCAAAACACAACACTCAGCAACGGAAGGCTTAAAAATATTAAAGACATAGTGGCAAGTTAAATTATGGAAGTGGGATAAGCATACAGAAGGTGCTATTTGATGTTGGGGCTGAATCAAGCACTGGCAAGTTTGAGGGATCCTTGAAGTATTGACAGTGTGTTTGATTTCCAGCTGAAAAAAATCATTACAACTGGGTGGTTTTTTTTAGTGTTCCTACCCCTTCAGAGTAGAAAAAAATGTAAAATGCATGACCGAAGAGACTTCTACTTTCAATGTTTGTGACTTTCAGTAAACAGGTTTGGGTTTGTTTCTTTTTATAACCACAACTTAATGGCATATAGATGGAGTGTCAGATTCTGTCTGTAAGTTTGTCATGGCAGAGGTGGATGTTCCTGTCTAGCTTACTCTATAACAGGGATCTTTATGAACCTCCTATTAATAATAACAACACTGTTTCCACATAGGAAATGCATCCAGCAGAATAATCTCCAGGTGCTTTACTAGGTGCAGGTTTTATGTCCCATGGATGTGGTAAAGGTGACCTTCAGGGGGAAAAAACAGCCTATTGCATTTGCTCTTTGTGGGTCTGAAATTGAACTTGGAAGCCACAAAAATAAAATAAATAAATAAATAAAATCAAAGCAAAAACAACAAGGCTTTGCTTCTGTGCCTCTGAAAGCAAAAGGAAAGTAGGGTTTCGTTGGTTTTAAGGCTGGGCATGTGATCGGTCAGCAGACCTTGTGCAGTTTTTCCTTCATAGCCTTGTTCATAGCTGTGTCTTGGCCTTTGCAAAACCTGGCTTTGTCTGACAGTCTTTGACAAAACGGGGAGATCACTAAATAATGAGCTCTGAGTGACAGGAAGTGATTCACTGATGGCCGAAATAAACCCGCCTGCCTGTGAGAGCTCCGAGTCACCATCTCCGGGGCAGCTGGAGAGGGTGATACCACCACTGCTGGTTCTGCCTCAGCATCAGGGTCTTGTATCCCTGTGGGAGAAAGGTAAAGGCACAGAGATGTTTGGCCACTCTCCAGCTGTCGCAGCAGATTGCTCAGGGAATCAGGTGGAGGTGCCGTGGATTTCTGTTTTCATTAGTAAGCTGGGCAGAGAAGGGCAGTGGCTGGGGAGTGAGCACACGGTGTGTTTGGCTTCATCTTTTGGTAGAGGGCAGGGCTGCCCTCTGAAGATCATAGAATCATGGAGTAGTTTGGGTTGGAAAGGATCATCTTGTTCCACCCCTGCTGCCATGGGCAGGGACACCTTCCACTAGACCAGGTTGCTCAGACCCATATCTAGCTTGGCTTTGAACATTTCCAGGGATGGGGCATCCACAGCTTCTCTGGGCAACCTGTGCCATTGTCTCACCACCTTCACAAGAAAGAATTTTTTCTAATATCTAATCTAAAGCCACTCTATTTCAGTTTGAAGCCATTCCCCCTTGTGCTGTCACTACAGGACCTTGTAAATAGTGTCCTTCCATCTTTCTGCTCAACTCCCTTCAGGTACTGGAAGGCTGCAGTTGGGTTACCCTGAAGTTTTCTCTTCTCCGGACTGAACAATCCCAACTCTCCCAGCCTTTCCTCCCAGCAGAGCTGTTCCATCCCTCTGATCATCTTGGTACCTCCTCTGGACTCGCTCCAACAGCTCCGTGTCCTTGTTGTGCTATTCCCCAGAGCTGGAGGCAGCTCTGCAGGTGGGGTCTCACCAGAGTGGGGCAGAGAGCAGAATCACTCCCTCATCTGCTGCCCACGCTGCTTGTGATGCAGCCCAGGGCACGGCGGGGGGGGGTGTTCTGGGTTACCAGAGCCAGCTCACATCCAGCCTCTCACACACCAACAGCCCCAAGACCTTCTCAGCAGGGCTGCTGTGGATCTTTGATCGAGATGAGGCAGGATGGGCAGCCCTGGGCCGTGGCTCCTTCAGTGGCCACCTTGTGACTCCCCAGAGCTCGCCTGAAGCTCCCCCAGCAGCACCACGGAATAAAGAAGGCTCCAGTGGTGACAACATGAAAGTGGCTCTTAATGAGATGTGAAGGCACTGAAGGAAATGCGGACCCGAAGGGTAGCCGGGAGAGAAAGAGAACTCAGTAAGTTATACCCACCCCAAAATGAGCTGCTAATCACTGGCACTATTGTGAGGACTACAATAAATCAGTGTCTGCCCTGGCCGCCTGCATCTCATTAAGCACAAACATGCGGATAGGGAATGTCAGGCTCAATAGGGATCTGTCATGTGAGTGCTGCTGTGTCCGAGTGGGCTGGCACTTGCATGGTTAGCCAGCTTTGTGTTTTCCCTTTTTTCTTTTTTTTTTTCGTGGGAGATATCTATTTTCTTTTGGAAATGTTGACTCGCCCTGTACTGTGGGTTGTAAATTTGCCCTTTTCTTCCAGTGATATGTGAATTCTGTGGTGATAACATTGTATTTAAGGTGTGGGGGTAAAATATCTTTCATATGTGTCATATTTTGTTGGGGATTTTTTTTTTCCCCAAGTCCTCCTCCGTGTGTGGTGCCATGCATATTCCTGAGGCTGGAGCAACACCTACATGTATTTATACAGTTGATGTATAATGCCCATTACTCAAGCATCACAGACTGCCTCAGGAAGCCTAATTAATTTAAGCCCTGCAGCACCCCTTTGAGGCAAATTTTGTCGGTCCTGATGGATGCACACATTGTAGCTGCTCTTTGTTATTTATTTTTAATATTATTTCTATCCCGGAGAAGGCGGGAGGGGTGAAATGAATAGTTTGTACTTTGTTAGGTAGTTTAACAAATGCTAGGTTTTTGATATCATCAAAATGAAGTATGTAGCAAACTTTGGGGTTTTTTTACAAGCCATGCCTCAGAGGTTCTAATTTTCTTTTAAAGCCTCAGCTTCTGGAGCCAGGTTAACTTGTAGATGTCCTTTTGTTTTGAAATCTCTTTGTCTAACTTGTGGGGTTGCAAAATAAATTTTAATGTATTGTCTTTGCTTAATCTAAAATCTGGGCTGCAGTGAGGCACCTGACTGAGATTGTAGGTTGGTTTCTTTTTAGTCTTAAAATTTCTTCATGATTAGGACTGGGAATACCAATGACAGAGTGTGAATGAAGTTTAAAAGGGATTCCCACAACTTACTAGTTGGTTTTGTGTTCATGTTTTAATTTCAGAGCTCCTCAGTTCCATACTATATTAAGTAGGTAAAACAAGGGGAACCATCTCCTCCCTCCCACTCCATGAGCAAACCAAAGATGTTTTTGAACGCTGACTCACACTTTGTTGTCTGTGCTCAGTCTTAGGCTTAATAAAGAAAGATTCAGCATATCTTCTCCAAATGCTTTATCCTCCTTTGTCTTTACTCTCATTTCTGAGCTCAGCTGTGTTTCTCCACTTCTTTTGTCAACACTAAGCTTGTTTCCCTGATGGTTCTCTCTTGCCCTTCCCACATCCCCTTTCCATGCTAGATCCCAAGCTGCCTCACTTTTTGAGGAGTGCTGAGGGCTGACAAAGAGGCTGATTCGAGCTGTCTTTATATCACGGGCTGCCAAGTCTTCACGTCTCACTCCCTCCTGTAGGAAAATTCTTAATTCCTTAATATTTTTCTGGGGAGCAGGTGTTCCCTGCTGCCTAGGGTGTCATTTCACAATTGTTTTTAGCCAATCTGAGACCACACTGTCACCAAAAGGGGCAATCACCTTCTTCTGGTATCTGCTCCAGTTCTAGTATCTGCTCCAGCCACCTCTTTTTGAGTAGCTGCCTGATATGGCAGATTGCCTTTTTTTTTTTTTTTTGTATCTTAGGTGAGGAATCTGCTCTGATTTGCATCACAGTCTCATGGATATGCCAAGAAACCCTGGGAAGCACCCAGCCAAGAGCAGGGGAAAAGTGTGACTGTTGCTTTCAGTAGCAGTACAGTCTCTGACTGACTGACTTAAATTATCATCTAACAACACTACATCTAATGTAGTTTCTTGGTTTCACTGAAAGAAGCAATCCTGCGCCTGGCTGCTGTTTCCTTCAGCTTTGTATTAGCACAAGCTGTGGTGAACCAGCCTGCTTACCTGAGCCAAATGGGGAAAGGAGGCACCTCGTTTTGTCCCTGTGGTTTTGTGAGGCGATTTTAGCCCTAAATCACCCTCCTGATTAACCAACAAGTGGCCCACTCTTAGGCCACCTTTCAATCACCGTTTTTCACGGTGTTTATAAATCCACCATCCTCCTGTGTAAAGGTGGTGAAGGCTGTGGGAGGTTGTTGCTGCTGAGGACAAACTGGGCATCGTTCCCTATGTTTTCCAAACCATGAGGCACCTTCGTGCTTCTCCTTATTTCTGTCCTAGACCTTCACTCAGTCCCTACTTAGAAATCTCATAAGCTCTAAGGCAAACAGTGCTTTGAGCAGTACATAATTCAGCTTGTGTCCCAGATGAGCCAAGTTTTTGAGACGCATGGGTTGGGCCAAAAAAGAAATCTGAGATGATCAGGAATTCATCTGCTGTGCGAATATGGGCTTGGCAAGTTTCCCCCCTTCCAGGAGCATAACTATTTTAAAGCACTTCAGCATGATCAGCTGTTTTGAAGGGCCTGCAGCAACATTATCTTTCTCCACAAAAGTGACTCTAAATCTATTTTTCAGGGCAATGTTCATCATGATCCTTTAAGCTGAAAGTAGTTTAGACAGAAACAGTAATGGGTTTTTTGTTTGTTTGTTTAATTGGATATGCAAATCACCTCTCCTTTTTTTTTAATTTCTTTTTTTTTTTGTTTTGGCAGTTAAATATTCTGGTTGACACTGGGAGCAGTAATTTTGCAGTGGCAGGTGTGCCTGATCCTGATGTCACCTCCTACTTTGATGCTGAGCTGTAAGTACCTGTTCTGTGCTGGGTTGGGGTGTCTTTTAGATTCTGATTCCTCCATGCAAGAGAGGATGAAAAGGAAGTTTATGGGGCTCCCGTGAGAGTGGGATGTTAGTTGCCTGAATGGGAATTTTGGCCTTGCCTGGTGCAAAGTCCTGCCTGACACCATGAGCAGTCCCAGTGATTTCAGCACAGCTGAGCTCTGAACACAGCACTGCTTAGAGCTGGAGAAAAAGGAAGAAGACTACAGGGTAAAAATCATCTGCAGAGAATCACACCAATTCCAGCCAATTTCTTCTCTGAATAGTCTTGGAAGGAATTAAAAGTTTAAATATACTTTGCCTTTGTTCGAAAACAAAAATTAATTAAGTTAAATTAATTAAATTAATTGTATCTGCTTACTTGACATCACTTCCAAAAGCAAAATTAGTTAGTCAAAACCTAATTTATTGTTTATTTTGGCTCAAGGGCCTCAATCAGTTAATGATCTACACAGACCCTGATGAATCTTGTTATTTATAAAATACAACTCTGTTGGTTTTGGTGCTTGTTATGCACTAAATTTACTGTGTTTAGCATGAGCTGACATTAATCACAGCCAAGCACAGCTTTGTCTGTCTGAATCACTCTCCCTCTTTTCTTCCTTCCTTTCTGCCCTTCTCTAGGTTCAATTATTTCAGGTAAACTTCTCCAAAACACAGTGTCTATCTTTAGCTGAAGCATATGGATGAAAATACTTGGAAGGCTGGGAGGCTGGAGAGTATCACCATTCCCATTACCTCATTATGTACTTTAACATGGGGTTTTGCACTTTTTTTCCAATAAGATGAGCTGGAGGGAAATCCATTATTTCTGTGCTCCTTACTAGAATAGCCTTACCTCCTGTCATATATCCTGTTAATGGAGATATTTCACATCTTGTTCTGATATGCTACAGGTCTGGAAAGTCAAGAATTTGCACTTAAAAGCTATTTCTGCACTACTGCAGAGTTTTCTATGCCAGATATCCTCTTCCATATGTAGTCCTAGAGGAAACCTAATTGCAAAGAATTTAAAGCACAAACATTCCTTCCCCCTTTTCTCTTAATTGATGTTATTGAGACTGGAAGGACAAGGCCTCTCTCATAAGAACCATAAACCATTAGAAACAGCTACAGTAAAGGTTGTGTGTTGAGAAAGGCTGTGAAATCACTTGAAGGTTACAGTCTCTGATCAGTGTTCTCAATGTACACTGTGTTTTGAGAACTTTGATATAAAGTTAATAACGAAACCTTGACATTTAGGCCCTGAAGAGTTAGTTATGGATGTTTTGCAAAATTATTCAAACTCAAGACACTACAGTCCGGAGCAATTGCAATAAGAGTTTCTGGTTTGTGTTGGATTGATGGAGTACTACAGTGTGCTCAGAATAAACTGCAACTGTTAGCATGCTTGAACCTGACTACACCATGCTTCTTGCATTTTAAGTATTTTAAATACATTTAAATAAATGTCATCCTGGAGGGATCCTTGCCCCAATGAAATCAGATGTTTCAAAAATGCTGGTTGCAGGAAACCTCTGTAGGTCACCTTGCACATATCCCAAATGAGGTGGGGCTGTCACTAGATCAGGTTAGCCATGGCTGAGTCCAGCCAAGCCCTGTAAACCTCTGAGGATGGAGAATCCGTGCTCTCCCTGGGCCCTGTGCTCCAGTGCTGGGACACACTCTCCCATGGAGGAAATACTTCCTGTTGTCCAGCCTCAGACTCACAAAATGTAACTAGTGGGTGTTACCCTTATGCAGAGAAAGGTCTGGCTGTGTCATCTTTCTGTGTTTCAAGTTGTCACGAGCTGCTGTGGGATCTGCCCTCAGCCTCTTGTCTGCAAAACCAAAGCCCAGCTCCTCTCAGCTCTTCATCACGGGTCCTGTGTTTGTGGACCCTGACCTGCCTGGTAACACTCTGCCAGTCCCTCTTGTGCCAGATCCCTGTTGAACTGGGTTCCCACAGCTGTCCACAGTCTGTTCCAGGTGTGGTCTCACCTGTGCTGACCACACTGGGAGAGCATTTTCTTTGGATGTGTTGTCCTGGCCCTCCAAATGTGGCCTGGTCTGGACTTCGCTGCATGCACGGAGCAACTTACGGTGTTGGCTCTTATCCAGCCCAGTGTCCACCATCACCCCAAATCATTTTGAACCCCCTTCTCAGTTGCTTCCCAGTCTGTCCTGATGCATGGAGTTGTTTTCTCTCAGCTACAAAACTTTGGGCTTCTCCTTGTTCAATGCCACAAGGTTTCTGTTGGCTCAATCTTCCTATTTTTCAAGGTTCCTTTGGATTCAGCATGTCAGCTTCTCCCTTTAATGTAGTGTCTTTGCAAATCTGCTGAGTGTGCTGTCTGTGCATCATGTGGGTTCTTGATTAAGATATTCACAGAATCATTTGGGTTGGAAAAGACCTTCAAGGTCATTGAGTCCACCCTGTGCCCCATCCCCACCTTGTCACCCAGCCCAGAGCACTGAGTGCCACATCCAGTCATTCCTTGGACACCTCCAGGGATGGGGCCTCCATCACCTCCCTTGGGCAGCCCCTTCCAATGTTTAACAACCCTTTCCATGAAGAAATTCCTCCCGATGTCCAGCCTGACCTCCCCTGACACAGCTTGAGGCTAGGTCCTCTCATCCTGTCACTGGTTACCTGGGAGAAGAGAAGGACTCCCACCTGGCTGCAACTTCCTTTCAGGTAGTTGTAGAGAGTGAAAAGGTCTCCTCTGAGTCTCTTTTCCTCCAGGCTGTTGAACAGTGTTTCCCCCACTCACAATCCCTGGGTGTCAAACCAATGGTCACTGTCCTTTGGGCCCAGTGGCCCAGCCCATCCTCAAGCCACACAGTGGCCAGTTTATTCAGCCCCACATCCTCAGCCTCCAAATGGGAATGCCATGGGAGATGCTGTCAAAAGCCTGACTGAAGTCCAGATGTGCTACAGCCACTGTGTTCTCCTCATCTGTGTAGCCAGATGTAGAAGGCAGTGGGATTGGTCAGGTATGAAATGACTGTGAATTCCTCCTTAAGTATCCATGATTCCCTTCTTGTCCTTCAGGTGCTTGAGAACTGATCCCAGGAGGTTGTTCTCTGAGATGTTTTGTGACTTGGGGTGAAGCCCAGTGACCTCTAGTTCCTTGGTCTCTGCTGCTCCTCTCTTTTTGAGATTGACCTTAAGATAACCTTTCCCAGTAGTTGGATTACCTTCCCTGGTGTTTTGGTTTAACCCCAGACGGCAACTAAGCCCCACGCAGCCCCTCTGCCATTCCCACACCACTGGGACTGGGGAGAGAATCAGAAGTGTAAAAGTGAAGAAACTCATGGGTTGAGAAAGAGGCAGTTTAACAGGTAAAGCAAAAGCCACATGGACAAGCAAAGCAGAACATGGAATCCATTCACCACTTCCCGAGGCAGGCAGCTGTTCAGCCATCCCCAAAAAAGCAGGGCACCCACACACGTGACAGTGACTTGGCAAGGCAAACACCATAACCCTGAATGTCTTCCTCCTTCTTCCCTCCTCTTTATGTACTGACCATGACACCATATGGTGTGGAGTATCCCTTTGGTTAGTTGGGGTCAGCTGTCCTGACTGTGTCCCCTCCCAAATTCTCATGCACACCCAGCCAGCTCAATGGTGGGATGAGGTGAGGGGCAGAAAAGGCCTCAACTCTGTGCAAGAGCTGCCCAGCAATAACAAAAACATCTCTATATGCAACACTGTTTTCAGCACAAACCCAAAACACAGCCCTGTACTAGCTGCTGTGAAGAAAGTTAACTCTAGCCCAGCCCAAACCCACACACCTGGTTGTCATGATTTTGCACAGATGGTGCACACCCAAGAGTGACCTTTACCCATGTGTAAATGAGAAAAGTGACCTGTGGGCACTTTCCTTCCACGGTGGGTGGAACACTTCAAAATTATATAAAGAGGTTTCTTTTTGTGTGGTAATCGATCCTGCAGTTTTTCCCTATATTGTCATGGAGTGGCTTCCAAAGTCATAAACTGCAAGCTGAAGAAGATTAGTAATTTGTTAGGTTAATGGGACTGATTTATAGATGTGTGCTTATTAGAATATTAATGTTGTGTTGGAGAAAGAGAGTGATGGGTCTGGATTTCCTGATGCCACGCTCTTAGTTTAATTTTGTTCCAATGATCATAATCTGAAATGGAATGCATGAGTGTTTTTTGACTGAAATTGAGGAGGGTGCATAGGAAGGGCATTATCTTTGTTTCAAAGGACCCAGAGGGTGTGTTTTTCAGAAAGAGCCCTCCTGGAGCAATTTTAGAACTAGCTCGTTAAGTGATGTCATGTATCATATAATCTGTGTCGTATAACTCTGCAGTTTAATTATCTGCCTCTTTCTGTACAAATTGAGTAAAGCTGTTATCATGAACTCTTTTACAACTTGGGCTTTTGAGTGGCTATGATGAAACTTTACTGTGAAAAGTTCTGAGTTTGCTGTGATAATCATGCTCTGTAAGTCACCACGAGGTATAAGGTTTTGCGAAACAGCCCAATTTGTCCCGAACTGAAAAGAAATCACGGTGCTTGTTTCTCATGCTGCTCAAAATAACAAGTAGTTTTACTGAATACACTACTTATAATAAAAGAGATACTTAAACAGACATATGAGGGGTTTTTTACAGTTGAACCCAACTTATCTGTGATGGCTCTGCAGCAATATGTCAACATGACATGCCCAGGGCTTTCAGTATTCAGCAACAGCATCCAGTTTTATTTCAGTGTGAGAACTACTGCCTCACCATGTGAAGGTTCAGGAGCAAGATGCTCAAGAGTTGATCTTTTCAAGAGATAGGGTGGTAAGAAAAATAAAGGCAATAAATTGAGGTAATGCAATCAGTTATATACCAGCAAGCAAAATAAACTGCCTTGCAGTGTGATGCTCTGAGTTTGGTTGTGTACAGTGTACAGCTTGTGGTTCGGGGTGAATTATAAGCTTCTTCCAGAAGCCCTGCAAATTAGATGAGACTTCTTGGTTAAAAATCAATAATTTATGTTATGTTTTCACATTTGCTTTGTCCTAAAGTTGTTTGGTAAGGTGGGTGTTAAGCAGGGCTTCCTGCACGTGGATTTGCTGTTGCCATGTTGAGCTTCCTTCAGAGGAATCATGACATGAGAAATAACATTTTGGTAATTTCATTTATTTTCTTATTTGTTTTGTTCAGTGCTGTATGCTAGTAATGAGGAGTAACTCTGCAAGAGAAAATTAACCACTGCTGAGGCTTGAGATCCATTTGAGGTTTGAGGGCCATGTTTCTGTTGGCTGCTCTGGAGAGAAGATAAAAATGGGAAAGGGAGTAGGGTCACTACAGCACCGTGGTCTAGGAGACCTTTTCCCTTGCCTCTGGCTCAGTTGCACTCTGTTCTGCTGGAAGAGTTGAATTTCTTCTTTCTTATCACAGCCAAAGCAGCTTGTTTGTAATTTTTCTCTTTTTTTGTACTGTCTGTTTGTTTTAAAACACTCAGCCTATGAATTACAACAAGTCTCTAGTTTTGACCTCTAAAGAAGATTTCTTCCTTTAGATCAGTGAGGTGGAAAGGTGAAAAAATCAGTGGCTGATGACAGGCAAGAAGATGGAGCAGGAAGTGGTTTTGCAGAACAGAATATAATTTACTGCCACAAGAATTATGTGAGATCCCTTCCCATGCTAGGTATTTTGCTTCTTGAAGGAAATAATAGAGTCTTATCTTTGGTGTGATATTTGTGAGGTTTACAAATGAGATGAGCATCTTCATATCCCTTTCTACAGGTGGGAAAGCCGAAACACAAAGGGTGAGGAGGTGACTTGTCCTGCCTTTCCACAGGAAAGTTCATGAGCCCATTTTTTCTGTGTCCTGGTCCACAGCTCATCCATGAGGCTGTCACTGCTTATGGAACAAGAGCTGCGTGCTACTTCTGTTGCCAGTCACACACCTTCTGTATTTGCAGATTTGCTTCACTTTATTCTCCCAGCACTCAGTTTTCTCTCTGATTTCAGATGTTTTCTCTTCTCTTGCCCGGCCAGATACTTTTCTACACGAAGAACCCTGTGTTTTCCCTTTCATTTCCTGGCCCCCCCCCTCAGCTTCTCTTATGTCACTAATTATTCAGACTCTATTTTGATTTATAAAATGTACTGCCAGTATCACAGAGGTGTTCTGAAGGCCCTGCCTGAGCAGAAATGTTCCTTTGTGTATCATACAATTGCAGAATTACACAGCAAGTAAAACAGCAGTAGAAATAACCAGACACAGGTAGTAACTATCTCCAGAATTCATGCCTTTTGAAATATTATCTCATGTATTTCTGTTGTCTGGGATGTTAACCCTTGAAAGGTTAGGTCTTGGGAGTATCAAAACCCACTTTGGGTTAGAACCTGGCTTCTCTTCCTCCCTTTTCCAGGAAAAGAGTCAATTGCCTGGTCCACTTGGCCAAATTGTCCCTCAGGATAAGCCATTTGAATGGATGGAACTTGTCTGTGTTGCCATCTAAAGGTTATTCCCCATAATAGGCAAAATCACACTGATTTTGTGCTGGTGAGCTCAGGCCCAGGGGGGTGAGAAGCCACTTCATGTGGATGTTTCTGTCAGAGCAGATGTTAGATTAAAGCTGGGTTGATAAAAATATCCACACCTGATAAATCACCTACCCTTGCTCTTGTTCTGCACACTTGTAAAAGTGGTGTTATAAAATTATTTTACAGCCCCCCCAATTTACTTTTTAAAAAGATGTCAAGAGAAAAGTCTGTTCAGGCGAACTGGGTGTGGTCACCTGTGTCTTCAAAAGGGGAAGCTGTATGCTAAGGAATGAGTCCAAGATAAATTGTGAGGGATCTAAAAGTTTTGTAGCTCTTTGGTACGACATGGGTGGAATATGATTGCAGTATTTAGGGATTACAGGATTTTAAATGGAAAAATCTATTGAGATTTCTTCTAACGTTTGTGTTAAGTCTTCTAAACAGGATTCTGTTCCTTCCTTTGCTTGCCATACTTAACTACTCCTTTGCATTTGCTACCCTGGTCTGGAAAGAATTCCTTCCTTTCCTCCTCCAAGTCAGTGAATCATTTGTTAATAATATCCAAGTCTGCTTGCTTCCTGATAGATAGACCAAACTGCAGATTTAGAAAGCCTCTGTCTTACTGCTGATACTCACAATAACATTTCAATTTACCCAAAATGGATCTTTTAAGAATATTAATGAGGTGTTAGTCTACAGCTATTCAGTTAGCTTGGCATTTCAGTTTTTTTATTTGAGTTCAGCAGCTTTTCATTTCCTAACACCAGTTAAGATGTTCCTTCTCCAGTTAGAGTGTTGCTCCTATTGTGATGGACCAGTCTGAGTCAGGGACACGCTGCACCAGGTGACATAATACCTTAGATTTAAAAAAAAAAAAAAAAAAAAAAAAGGAGGGGGATTTTGAGTTGAGTTATTGATGGCTTCTGGATAAAAACAGAGCCTTGAGATTTCCTTTTTTTTTTAATTTCTGCATTTTACAGCTTTTACAGGCAGTATGCCTATATATTTTGCAGGCTTAATTTTTTTTTCCCCTCTCTGGGCAAAATTGAGATGGAATATATTCTGTCTTGCATCGAGGATGAACAGCTTCTGCATAAGTGTATCTTTTCCTTTTAAAGGTCAAGCACGTACAGATCTGAAGGGATTGAAGTCACAGTTAAGTACAGTCAAGGAAGCTGGACTGGAGTGCTGGGTACAGATGTCATTACTATGCCCAAAGGAATCTATGGCAGCTACACCATCAATATTGCCACCATCCTGGAGTCAGAGAATTTCTTCTTACCTGGGGTTAAATGGCACGGGATTCTTGGCCTTGCCTATGATGCCTTAGCCAAGGTAAATCATCCTTTCCCCAGTGATTGTCTTTCGCAGTGACAATAAACAGAAATGTGACAATTAAAATAAAGTGTGCAGATGATCTGTCAGCATTAGACTCCCTCCCTTCCAACCACTCTTTCTCGGATCTTTTATGGTTGTTCCTGAAAGAATTCGTTGGTTTGTGATGGTGCCATATTCCCATGTGAGGATTTTGGCTTTTTTTTTGGTGATGAAAACTCCGATTTTAGCTCCTCTGGAATGAATAAGCTTCTAAAGAGCTTGTAGTACCAGAGTATGGGTCTAAAGTCTTCTGATATGTGTGAAGGGTGTTATTAGGGCACTGATGACAATCCTCAAGACTTGTCCATGGACTGATGAACTTACTTGGCAAAGCCCTTGGCAGTTTATTCTAAGACATTCTCCGTTCATCAAGTAGAATTTGAGTTGGAGGGGACAGATGGATAATTTCATAACAAATATTAGCCACAGTGTTTCCCTGAACATAGAGCTAAGCACATCACGGTCTTCTGGGGGTCAGAAATTCAGGTAGAAGTTTAAATTAAACCCCAGAATTTATAGTCTAAAGCTTATAACCTTATAATCTAAAACTGAAAACGTGATTGGAATCCCTCATAGTCATAGTTTTCAATTTACACATCACAAAGTGAGATCTCTCCAGTTAGAACAAATGGTTCAATACTGCCTGACAACTCTGCTTTATTCGAGGGTTGTGTGAGCCTTGTATTGACTTCTGCTGTTGACTTGACATGTACTGTCAACAGGAGGGGAAGAGCTGCTCTTCAAACTCTAGTTTGCGCAAATAGTGTACTCAGGGCGTTGGTTTTTCCCTTCTTCCAAAGGCTTTAGAGTTGTTGACTTCTGGGGCTGCTCTGTCTTTGTGTAGCAAGAACCCTTGGCCCCTCACACTTGCCAGGGTCTCTGCCCATCGTGAGACCTACGTGCTCAGAAATCTGAATTACAGTGAGGTTGCAATACTCTGATAACTGCAAAGCAAAGCACGACATGCAGTGTAGGGAAGAACCTGTTGGCCACAGTCAGTTGAAGTGAACGTGCTTGGACATGAAGTTCTTCAAAAGAAATAAGAGGAATTAACAGGCCATTGAATAAAAAGTTTATTAGAATTAAATTATTTTGAAAAACTGAAAATCTTGACTTTAAAATTTTGCCTTTTTAACCATGGAAAAGTGTGAAGGGCAAGTTACATTTGTCTGTTCTAATAACCCAAAGCCTTTCCCAACCAGAAAGCATCGGTGAGAGTTTGTGTGCCTGAAACCACTGTTTGAGTTTGGAAACTGCAATTGAAAATTACTCTTGTGCTTTAGGGATTTGGTGGCAGCCACAGTGACAGTGGTCAAGAGTAAATATGTTTTTGAAAACAGCAGAAACAGAAAAATGACAGATGTTGGGTTTTTAATGACTTATTATATCTAGAACTTTCATCACCTTGTTGTCAGAAATTCAATTTACTCATGAAAAGTGGTCTTGTTTGAATGATTTGCTGATTTCTACAAAGCAGCTTTTTAATGAATCCTGCAATTCTTTTGATTTTTTTGTTTTGTTTTGTTTTTCAACACCTTCAAGCCTTCAAGTTCTGTGGAGACGTTCTTTGATTCTCTTGTGAGGCAGGCAAAGATCCCCAACATCTTCTCCTTGCAGATGTGTGGTGCTGGACTCCCTGTTTCTGGAAGTGGTACCAACGGAGGTAGTCTTGTGGGTATCTGTCAATCGGAGAGGGAAGATGTATCTTTGTTAATCTCTCCCCCTCTTTTCTGTGACTATTTTACTTCTGCCAAATTTAATGTTTAAATATATGAGGTATTCTATTTTTTTTAAGGAAAAGTTAAGCCCTTAGGCAAAATTCAAGTGTCTTATTTATTTTCAGTCTCGATTCTTTTTTTTCTCTCTCAAATCTGAGTAAACCTTTCTTCTTTTAACAAAGAAAAACATAAATGTTGTGGTGTTTCCTCAGGGTGGATTCTGCTACCTTTCTCAAACTGAGTAGTCCCTTACTCAGCTGATAAACTTGTTTAATCTCATCAAAATGTTACAGTAATTTTTTTTTTTACATGATGTGAAAAGGGGGAGAGGAATCAAGGGTCTTTTTTTTTCGGTGGTTGTTGACAGCAAGGAAAAAATCTGAAGATGAGATCTTCTGCTTGTTGTTACTCTGGAAAGTCTTTCTATTAGTTTTAGTGGGACCAAGAATTGGCCATTATGTATCTAGAATTGGGAGTTGGAATGACTGTTCCCAAATTATGCTGAAATAAGTATATCAGCACAGGAGTTGATCACAAATAGTTATTTTGCGGTGAATTCACATACTGTAAATGTTATTCATGTAGGTGAAGCCCAAGAGAGAATTCACTTAAGTTAGTTCAGTACAAAGTCTGAGAGTCCACTATGCTCCCAGTCATCCTGAACCTCAGTTTTGATGGAAGCCAGTAGTGATATCAGTGACAAGATGGTCAAATTCCATTTTGGATGTGTGTAAGAAAAATGAAATGCTCTTGAACAGTATTAAAGCTTTTCTGATCTGATAAAGCAAATTCATCATGTGTAAGTTTAATATTCTGTCCCATTTTTATACACTGCCCGTTTTATACATTGCCCTGAAGATTCTGTTTTGATTTTAAACCGTGGAGCTTTCATAATAAAGTCAGTGTGAGCTTTTAGATAAAGATGCTGGTAATTTGGCCCAATATGGGAATTCTGTTTGACTGAGGCACAATCTGTTTAACGTCTAGATGTTTCATACTGCTTTATTATTGACAATGAACTTGTCACTAAAATCCTTACAAATGATGCTAAATTAAAATTTTGATGCCTTGAGTATCACAATTAAATATTCCCCTTTCTGCATGTACTTGCCCCAAAGCTAAACCTCTGGGATTTTAAAGCATGCTAATTGTTTTCTCCTTTCCCTCAGGTCCTGGGTGGAATTGAACCGAGTCTGTACACGGGGGATATTTGGTACACACCCATCAAAGAGGAGTGGTATTACCAGGTGGAAATTCTCAAACTGGAGGTTGGGGGTCAGAACCTCCAACTGGACTGCAGAGAGGTATTTGCCATTCTGTGTTTCAGTCTATATAAAATGCAAGTTTGGTTGAGAAAAAAACCACCTGATTGATCAGTTTGGGTCCTTGCAAGCAGATGTGTATCACAGTCTCCTCTGAGAACTGGTAACTTTGAAGAGAAATGAGTGAGCCGTGTGAAATTCAGGGTGTCCATCAAACATGCTAAAATTGCTTCACAGAGGACTTTAAAACTCATTGATAATATTCCAGTAAATTGGGAACTAAGCTGTAATTTTTAAGCCAACAGAATCAGGCTGCTGTGGTTTGGGAGGACTCAGCCTCTTGGGTTGTTCCAGTTGTAACAAAGGTGTCTAAACACTGAAGATGGTGCAATGATTCAAGGAGACAATAGTCTTTAAACAACTACAGCATATGGTTTTCCTACAGCAAAATCAGTTCAAAGGGGTTTAAAGCAGTTCTGGTCAAACAAAGAAAAGGGGATATTTTGGACTGACCCTTGTAGAGCTGTCTGAGTACATAATTCATGATGGCAGTGGCAGCTGTTATCCGGGGATGCCCCATAGAAGTTCTCATCCTATGCCTCCTTTTTTATTTCATATTTTTGTAATCTACTTTTGATCTCTTATGCCTTGCCAGTTATTATTCCTCATGGATATATTTTCTGTTTTTATTAGGAATAATGTTCTGTGTTGTTGCAATTTTTATTCCAAAGCCATTTCTTTCCTTTTTTTTTTTTTGTAGAGGATGTCTGTATATGTGTGTGTTTTATCTGTTTCTTACTGTTGCTTGTTGCTGTTCATGTTTTGATTTTAGTTCTGTAATTTTCATGCCCCGATTTCGTTAGACATTCTAATTTTATCTTGTAGTTGTGCTCTTAGTTGGAAATCATTGGGATGTTGTGCTGGCTGGGGTTAAACCATGTCAGACATGATAATTCTGAAGGTTTTATAGTTCATATAAATTAAGTGAAATTCATGATTAAAATATTACACATGCATAAATATTATATTTCCATACAAAATATGGAAATCATATTGCCATATAAATTATTTAGAATTAGTCACAGCATCTTTCAACTTAATAAGCAAAACAAGGTCTATTTAAATGCTTTTCTCTGTTGTACTGCTAGGAAAGCAAAACTGCTGGTCCTCTAACAGAAATGTTTGCTTTTCTTTCTTGCCTTTGAAAACAAGTCAACATGTTTTTGAAGGGGAGCCCTTGCACTAATGGTTTAATCCGTGCTGTTTCCAGAAAACAACTCACTTAAAAAATCCAGCGTTGTGTTACAAAAGTTTCCTGTTATTGTTGCTGTTTTCTGAGCCAGGGTTTGCTTTCACACCGTGTTTGTGTGTTAGCACAGCACGTTGGTCACCCATGCACAAGGGCTGTGCCTCCCTTGAGCACAGGCAATCATCCCACAAAAAAAATTTAGAGGAAGAACAGTGAAACGGAGCTGGTGTGATTAAAGTTTGGCTGGTTAGGAGCTTGCAGAGGATACATGAATCACTGCATGGGACGGTGAACTGTGTGCCCTCTCTCCTCTTAGTTGTTTTCTAGGAAATGGAACATTATTTGTAACCTTCACCAGAAGGCTACTCCTTTCCTTGCCAGGGAAAAGTTGTCTCCTTGCTTCAGTGCTGGGAATCTGTCCAGTGTTAGAGCACAGCTGTGTCCCTGAGCCCGGCAGGCTGGGGCTGGGAGAAGTCCTGAGCTGCTGGGAGAAGTCCTGAGCTGCTGGGAGAAGTCCTGAGCTGCTGGCAGTGCCCCCTGCTTAGGCTGCCCTGGTAAATATTAACCAGGAAGGCCAAGAAGGCAAATTGCTGCCAGCACTCTGTACACAGCATGAAAATCCTAGTCCCTAGCTGAGCCATCCCACTGCTCCCAGCATTTTCCATGGGTTATGTCAGTGGTTGACCCTCCTAATTGCTTGTTTTCCAAGGATGCCAGTGATTGTGTATTTGTGGTACACATCTGTTAAAATGGACTCCACAAGGCCTTGATATTTCTCTCCACTCTCTAGAAGTGTATAATAGAAATATAAAGAAGTTTATGAGTGTATAATAAATGGTTTCCTGTTTACTTTTCTGTCAGCTCTGCATGGCAGCCTGTAGCAGCTCTTCCAAAAAAGAAATAATAAAGAAATAGCTGTCAGACCCACTTTTTTTCTTTTTGGTGGGTTTTATTTTTGTCACTTCACTAAAGGGACTCCATGTCCATGTGACTTGATAACATCTAAACCAATGTATTTTAAATTTACTTGCTGTCTGACCTCTTCCTAAGTGGCTTATGCTGTATATTATCTTGTGTCCTATGATTATGCCATAAACATGTCACTGTTCAGTTATATTAATCCTGCTGCCTAAGCTGGCAACAAAAGTAATTAATACAAACAGCTGTCACTGCTACTTTTTCTTCTTCCCCCCCCCCCCGCCCCCAGTTTTTAAAGAGTTCATGGCAAAAGTTCTATTTCTTAAAAAGTTTATACCTTGTTTGCTGTATCTGACGCTTGCTGAAATCTCTTAGTCTGAGGGTTAGGGTTTTAATAATAAGAGAAATATTCACTTGGAGGGGGGGGTTGTGCAGATTTTGAGGCAGCAAGACTGAAACTTGAAGTTTCTTTGTGATTGCTGTTGTCTGTGTTTCGGTGGTTTTCAGCAGCCAAGGGAGAAAGGTGTGGTGTTTGTACTCTTGAGCCAGTACCAAAACACAATAAGGCCTAATTTTCTCTGGCTACACTTAAATTCAATATGCCAGCCACTAAAACAGCATCTAGACTGTAGTGAGTTGTGTTCGTGGTGGCAGAGACCTTGATTGAGGGCTTAGACATGTGTGCTTAGCACCTGTCTGTACTGAACATGGAAGTGCCTTTGCCCCCTCTGAGAGGGGCTGGGCTTTACTTCTTTTTCCAGCATGTTTTGGCCATTTGCACCAGCTGTGGTGGCACACAGCAATTTCCTGAGTGCTTCAGATAAACTCACTCTTGTGTCTAAGCTGATGGTATCTTCCTTTTGCTCTCAGACTTCATTTGAATTCAAGCTATCAGCTGGAGAGGGCTGCTGACAGGAATGACATGCAGGTCTGGGAAGCCAGCTGCCAAAAAAAAGAAAAGGAAAGGAACAGCTTTGTTATGGTTATGAAACAGTGGAATCTGCATTACAGTAACTACAGTCTCCTTTTTTTTTTTACCTCCACTCCCCAGTACAATGCTGATAAAGCAATAGTGGACAGTGGAACCACACTCCTTCGTCTGCCAGAGAAAGTCTTCAGTGCTGTGGTGCAGGCAATAGCTCAAACGTCCCTGGTAAGCTGATGGCATTAAATCTGCCCAAAATGTGAAATTCCTATTAAATGATCCCATGATCTTTGAAAGGAGTGTCATCTTTGCTGTCTGCCTTGCAAGTCATAGGTTTTAATCCTGAGGGGAGCAGAATCTTACCTGGTCCAGTCCTGTTAATAAGTGAGAAAAGACTGATGGAAAGGGGGAAAAGGGAAAGGAAGAGGTGAAAAGGGAAAGGGAGGAGGGAAAAGGGGGGTTCAAGTACAGGCAAAAGTCTTTGTATTGAAATGCATCAAAAATAGGGCAGAGACAGAGTATTTTGTTCTAAGCATTTCAGAAACACAGACGTAATCCCTGTTGCTCTGATTCAAAGTATTAAGAGTGCAAAAATCAGTCCTTTCATTCAAAACAGAGCGTTTCTAAAGTAGAAGAACCTGCTGCTGCAAGCAATTCCTTTCCAAGTATAATGCTTATTGCTGTCTAGAATAAATGCCATTCATTAGGATTATTCCTATCAATAAAGCTGCTTTTGACCTTCATTATTGAATTATTTATGTTCAAAAGCATCTTTCTTTGGAAATAGAGTGGGCTTTAGAAGTAGGGCATGGGGATGGTTCTCTGCATGTAGAGTAGCTGAAGCAGCATTTTCTGGTTAATAAAAACTATTCATAAATTTTTGTTCAATACAAGGAAGAGAACAACAAGGTTAAAGATGAAGAAGAAATCCCAAGTATTTCAGTGTGAACAATTTTGTCATTTTTGTTGTGGATTCACAATCAGACAGTAGCAAATCACAGGAAATACAGTAAACAGCTTCCCAAAAGACAGAGTATTTTCCTGTGTGCTGATAATTCAAGACTGAGATCCTTTTCCTACCTGATGGAGAGCAGAGATTCGGCATGAAGTGTTCTTCACTGCCTGCAGGTGTCCAGTATCTGAAATAAATGTGCCAGTTACAAGTTCTTCTCTTTGCAAAACACTTCAGTATTGACATATACAATTTCAGTTGATGGGGGAGAATTGAAAGAAGCCACCCCAGAGCTCCTGTAATGGTACCTTGTGGATGGGGCATCCCCTGAAGTGGGTCCCAGTGGTTCATAGTCTGCTGCTGGTCAGGACATGGCACGTGAATAGTGGACTGATCAATAAGGTGTTAGAGGGGAACAACTCACTCACTCTGCTCAATGGTTTTTGCTCTTCCTATTAAAAATGCATAAACTAACTCTTCTTTTTCAGGGTTTCTTTTTAATCCCAGGGACCTCCCTGCTGCACCCCTTTCCCTCCACACACCCCAAAATTTACTTTCACAGCTCTAAAAAAAAAAGGAAGCAGTCTACTAAATAAGAAAGTAGTCATAGGGATGTAAGGATTGGATTCCGGCTGTGTGGGAACAGTGTCAGAAAAATGGGTATTTTCAGCAACTCTACTGCAGCATCACAACTGTACTCTTAGTCCTCTGTGCTTCTGGCAGGATATGTACCACTGAAACATAAAATCATCTGCTTTAGGCAGACAGCCCTCCCTGACCACAGGTGAAGGAGGTTAAGGAGTCCCTGCTCCTATTTGGTTGTTGTGATCTTCCCAACCAGATGTCACTTCCCCCTCGGATATTCTGGGATAACTGTGTGTGGCACATTCCTTTATTCAGCTCCATTAAAACACAAGGCAGTGAGCTTTGTGCTCTTCAGTGGTGCAGGTGGTTTTTTAAACCAGACTTATTTGGGCTGAAGTCTTTTAGGGAGCAGCTGTAGCTTCAGTTTGCTCTTGGTAGGTTTGGAGGGTGGTGGTTTTCATAGATGAGCAGAGATAAGCCACAAAAGGGTGGCACCTTCTACACCTGACTGAGCTGGAGTCAGGGCAGTGTCTGCTCACAGTATTAATACAATGCTGAGTTAATAAGCTGAATAAAAGGTTCAAGTAAACCTAAAATCTTTATTTTAGTAGCCCTTTAGGTATCATACACTCAAATCTCCCCAGTGCATTGCTTCAGCATACAGAAGTAAGGCAAAGAAATGCAATGTGTTAAGCAGTCTTTCTGGGAAATTAAAGCAGGCACTTAAAGCAGAGCACTTTATACAGTTGGTCTGCCCAGTCTAGGTGTTGTCTGGCATTTTTTTTCAGATCACAAGCTCTGCTTTTCAAGACAAAATGGAAAGAGAGGAGAACTGTATTTCTCAGCAGGCCTGGCCTGGGACTAAGCTGTGAGGGGCAGAGTGTTCTGCCCTGTGCTGAGGGATGTACTTAAGCTTGCATTGAGATTTAAGGGTAAAAGCAGCCTGTTTGTGATGGTTACGTCTCCTTGTTTACATGAGCCCGTGCTTGTTGACCCAAGAAAAAAGATGAGCACTTGAAAGTATGAAGTCTCTGTGCAGCCCTAACCAATATTTCACTGGCAGGTGTGTGGGGAGGGCTGAATACCTGTCATCTGTACAATGCCATATAACTAATGTGTGAGCTGATGTTTACAACATAATCAATATCACAGATAAATACAGGTGAGGAGATCAAAGAGGCTGGATTCCATCCCTTTTTTTTTTTCTCACCCAAATGGAAGGCTTTGGCTGTGCAGCCTCAGAACAAGACACTGCCTTGAATGCTGCTTCATGGGGGAATGAAAACCAGCACAAAGCAACGCAGGAAAACAAGGGAGGTCTTTGCTCTGATCTGGCAGCAGGTCAGCTTCAGGGTGCAACAGCATTAGGCAAGATGTTTGTCTTGGCCAAACAAGCTCTGTAGGGGTTTGCTTTTTGCTTTGTTAGTTCCATGGGTATATTACAAAGTACTGTTAATCAACCTTATTTCAAAGGCATGTCGGGTCTTACTGGGACTGAGTGATGGGGCAGCAAAAGAGGCTGAGGGTCATCTTTCTTCCCATTGACTTGATCCTTTAGATACCAGGAGATTTTTGGCTTAGCCCTTGGGTTCAAAACCCTGAAAGCTGAGTAAGAAGCTGGAGGTATGTGAGGAAGGGTCGTCGCTTCGTTACATATTCATGTGATTTGTGTTTTGGTTTGTGTTTTTTTATGAAGTGTCTGCAGCTCCAAAACCTTGGTGCTTGGTCAGAGAGGAGGTGGGGAGACACTGAAAGCCCGTTGATGCCTCACACATGTTCATTGGAGCAGTGGAAGTAATGAGACAAAAACTGGGAGGAAAGGGGGGCCTGACCTTGATTTTGCCTCTTCCCCCTTCTTCCAAGTCGTGCTGGGCTATGACACACCTCAGTTTGGGTGTTGGGGATTGGGTTTCTGCTTTGACCCTTAAAGAAGCAGCTCAGATTCGCGTTCATGCTTGAATTTCTCCAAGGGAATGGAAGAAGTATCAAATAGTGGTAGTGTTCACTTAAAAAAAATCTATCAAAATGTATGTAATATGTAAGTATCACATTTCTTTTCTTTTTTTCCCTTTTTTTTTTTTTTTAATAGATACAGGAATTCTCTTCTGGTTTCTGGACTGGTTCCCAGCTTGCATGCTGGGATAAAAGTGAAAGACCCTGGTCCTTATTTCCCAAACTCTCCATTTACCTGAGAGATGAAAACTCCAGTAGATCGTTTCGGATCTCTATCCTACCACAGGTCTCAACCTTCTTTGTTTATTCACTATGCATTTATTTTTACTGTCATAAAGCACATGCTTTTAAAAAATAGGAGCTGTTTTTAGCAGTAGTGGAGAACTGGTTTATTGCATACAAGAGAAATCTTTTTTAATCAGATTTTAAATAGGGAAAGTAACAAACTTTCCAAACCTAAAATTGAGAAAGAAAAGCAGTTGCCCTCTCAGTGCAGTCCATGTAGTTGAGAATGATTTTTTCAATTAGTCAGGAAAAACAGGCAAGTTTTTGTTTTGTTTTCATGAACTTTAGCCACATCAGATGTCAATACAGAATGTCTCTGCTCATTTTGATCTTCTCCTTTTGGGAAGCAAATTGATTTGTTTTTTGTGGCATTTTGAGTTGGAGCACTTCTTCTGAATATGAAAATCTTGGCAGTGACCCTTTGTGAGCTCTTCACCAGTTTCTGTAACTTTGTTTGTTTATCTTTTATTAATATTCCATCCCAGCTTTTAGAATATAATATGCTACTTTTATTTTTCTTCTCTGGCTTCCCCTCCTAGTATGGTTTGCAGTGCAGGCTGGTATCCTCTAACATTACTAATACAGTCTTTCACCTCAGGGGACAGCAGGAACAAAGGAGAGAATGAACCTATTAAGTACATTTTAACTTGAAATATAGTAAAGCCTTATGATAAGCTTTTTCTGTATTGATCATGTAGCTTGGCAGTCATTCATCTTCCCGGAGGAGACAAGGGGCAGAATGTGACTTGAATTTATAAATCTAGAGCCTTGAAGCTGACACTGAATCCTCTCTGAAACAACTCCATCCTGATAATTTTTTAAATAATAAAATGATTCTGTCATTTGAGTTCATATCCCAAGTTCTTTCTCAGCTATCATTCCCTTATGGAAAATACAGGAAAAAGGGGCTCTTGTGAATTTGCTGTTGACCTTCACATAGTGACTGACTGTGTTCAAATTTAAGCTTATAATCCAAGAGCTTTACCTCTCACCTGCATGTGAGCTTTGACCAGTTTTAAATCCTGCACAGAAACGTTTGCCCCTATTAATTCTCTAATTCCAGCGGGGTTTGAGTGCTTGACTATAAAAATCAAGAGGACTGAACTTGTGTGGTGTGACTTCTTACACTCTGGATCTTTTGTTTGTTTGTTCTAATAGCTCTATATCCAACCCATCCTCGGAATAGGGGAGAATTTGCAGTGCTACCGGTTTGGCATCTCTTCCTCCACAAACGCCCTGGTTATTGGTGCTACAGTCATGGAAGGCTTCTATGTAATATTTGACAGAGCCCAGAGGAGAGTGGGCTTTGCAGTGAGTCCGTGTGCAGGTAAGAGAAATATTGCTGAGGACCTGGTGAGTGAGGAAACCCCTGCTGTCTCAGAGAAACACCTTTGCCACTTACCTGATGGGGAAAAGTGTGGTTACTCGTAAAGTGCGAAGGGTATATTTTTGAGCAATTCCAAGCTATTCACACTACAAAGGAAGGGGGAAAAAAGCAAAAAAAAAAAAAAAGCTGTGTTGCAACAGTCTTCTGGCATGAAGTGAATCAGCCCTCAGCTCTGGATACCTTTGCTGTGTTCTTCCCTCTCACAGAGATGATCTTCCCCAGACATCTGTCTGTGTGTGCAGTTTCCCCAACAGTTATGTCAGATGAGTCCCTGTTTTTAAGGCAGCTTCATTTTTGTGTAGTTCCTGCTCTAAATTGTGGATAAATGGATTCTTCAACTGACTTTTGCAGTGTGCAGTGAAGTACCTTACTCACTCTTTACTCTTAATGTAAATTGAGCCTCTTCAGCCTCTTGGAAATTCACAAGGAAAGAGCTGAGGTGAAAATGGGACATATTCACATTTCACATTAAGACTTGTGGTGTTTATGTGGTTCTAAACAAATGGTTTTGTCAGTGGAAGTAGAAAGGCATAAGTTTTTTAATTAGTTGCTAAGGAGATGTGAAAGAGCTCATGGCTCCTGGAGATGGTCCCATGCAGGGCTAAGAGTTGGACTCTGATCCTTGTGGATCCCTTCCAAGTCAGCATATTCTGTGATTCTGTGATAACTTTTGGCTGATTTTTCTGTGCTGGTTAACTTTCTTTCTCTTTCATCATATCTCTTACCTCACCAAGGGTAGCTAAAACCAAAGGTTTTGGGGTTTCCTTGCCTTGTTGTTCAGGCATTGCTTTGGCATCACAAGAACATACAAGTGGGAGAGGAGGGAAAGGATGTGCACCCATATGCAAGTCTCAGTCCCAAACAGGAGTGGCTTATGCCCTGAAAAACCTTGTGTCACCTGAGATTTGCATGAGAAAAGGACTAGGACTGACAGTGCTTCTTTAATCTCCAGTATTTGTGTTAGAGAGGGTAAGGATAGTAAGGATTTGAGTGCTTAATGCAACCAGGGAATAGAGACAGGGAAGAGAAATGCTAGCTGGCCAAGTTGTAGCTGTAGGGCATTTTTAAAGCTACCTTTTGTTTTATTTTATTTTTTTTGCAATGTCTCCATTGTGAATTGGTTCAGAATTGTCAGTTTTGAGCTTGCTGTGGAAGAAAATCCAGATATTGATATGGGTTGCTCAATGAAGGTACTGTGCAGAGATGAAAGACACATTTTGAATGCACTTGGCAGGAGAGTGTGACTAGACAAATACTGCAGGCCAGGCTTTCCTGCCTTTCACTCTTCCTTGTGCTTCCTTGTTGCAGTTTTAGCAAGTGCAGAGCTGCCTCCTGTCCCTGTCACACTGCAGCCATTAGTGGAGCATTTTGACAGGACATATTGACCGAGGTGTGATGGTCACAGGGGACAGGAGCCAGCTGGTGGGCATGAGAACTGCTGTGACAGCACTCCTCTGTCAGGAAGAATAATTGGGAAACCATAATAATAAAAACACCTTAGTGTTAACATTGCTACCTGGAAGATAGTTTGGCCACTTCATGTAGTTCTTCCAGGCTTGTCTGGAGAGGAAGAGCTGCTGGATAGAAATGCTGTTGGAATTTACATGAGCTTGGGCACATGACTGGACCCAACTGGTGCTGGAAGACGTTTCCTCCTCGTCTCTCTGTCCACGTTCCGTGCATATGTCTAACCAAACATCACAGGAACTGAGCTTCCTGAGGAGTCAGATGACTGTCTGAGGCAAGATATACTGATTTGTCACATTCCACTCACATGGGGCAGATGACATTTTGCTGGATGTGCCAGTTATTCTGAATTCACTCCTTCACAGCTTGTGGTTTCCGTATTTAACTCTACTTCCATCAGAGAACCACAACTGTGAGTGGTGAGTGTCGGTGCAGTGTGAGGGATTAAGCTGCCTAACTGGCTTCCTGTGGAGGCCAGCCTTGTCCTCCACAGCAACTATATTAATGTAATTTATTTGGAGCTTTTTAAGGCTGTCCGTGGGCATAAGTTAAACTTGAATTGCTGGGGGCATAAATCTTCAGAAACAGGGAAAAATAAAAGGCCATTTGGTATGGCTTTGCAATGACCTCATGCTTTCTTAGTGTTAACATTAAATTAAATCTGTGTTTTTATAAGGTGTTAAACTGGTACCTGCTGAATGCAAAAATCATGGGAACAACGCCCAAGTTATTATTGAGGCTTGGCTACAAATAAGAACTGGCTTATTCCACACTACTCCTTGGACCATTTTCATTCTCCAGGGTACACCAAGAATGAGGAAAGTTAGATAGATGGCTGCAGCTATTCCATTGCAACAGGAAAAGAAACTTGCTTTTTTCTCAATATGTGAAACCCTTTAAGACTTATTCACGCAAAGAGTTTAAAGTTGCCCTTTGATAACTTGTTTACAGGATGACTAGGAAAGGTTTTGGGATCAGGTCCCTCCTTGAGACAGGATGTTCAGATCCACGAGTTAGTTTTAATGACTTCCAGGGGACCCTTCCAAGCTGCACTTCACAATTTTATGATAAATATGATCTAATTCCAGGTTTGCTTCCTTTGCAAAGCACCCAAGTTAGTGAGTGTGGGTGTGTTAAGTTCAACACAAATGTTAGAAAAGAGCATGTTTCCAGAGGTGCCTTTCCTGTCCTGTAATCATCAGTAATGAAGAAAATCTCATTTATTCAAGGTCATGAAAGTATTGTAGGTAGCTATCACCAGGTGTTCTAGGAAAATACACCAAAATATCCTAATTCAGTTAATGTGTAATATGCTAAGTGCCTGTGAGTGGTAGTTTATGTTCCGGGCTTGTTTGAACAATTTAGGCAAATTTCCCCTCAATTTCTCTGGGGATGGAAGAGTGTGAGGGAAAACTTTTTTATTTTTGGAGGGAAGAAATCAGAAGCTGTGCTGCTATCAGGCATTCTCAAAATGTGATTTAAAACGTCAGCCACTATGGCAACAGTTTTGTATTGTCTTTTCTAATAGGAGTAATTATTGCACTCAAGGCAAATAATGAGTAATTAGAGACTGTTTATTTTCAAAGCTCTCTCCAAGGTGGAAAATTGTATTGCCTTTTTTTTTTTCTCCACTTCTCCAAAATACTACTAAGTAGTAATACTTAGGCCTTGTTGCTGCAGAACTTCATAGAGACAAGTGAAAGAGGGGGTGAGAGGGTGAGATGTCCAGAAGAAACAATGGCAGGACAGACCAAGCACAATCCTGGGACTTTGAACAAAAAGGATTTCTGCCATTGACTTTCTAGGCAGTCTTTTACCATCTGATAAGTTTAGAAAGTCTGTGTTTGGTGTTCACCAGTGTCAGGGTGCTGTGGGTGCAACCTTAGTCCACTCTAACTGTGTATTGCTGCTAAAGGAGTCTTCCCACACTTACAGCTGGAGAAGTAGTGGGTTGAGTTGGGTAATCCTACAGAAAATTCCTTTTTTGGGCATTTTTTTCATTATGGTAGATTGGTTTTCCATCTGATCTGCGAGTTGGAGCACCAGCCCACAATTATTAAGTCTAACAAGAGCTAAATCTTAAAGTAATACAAGGTGTTATGAGGCCAGGGAGTGAATACCAACTGAAATATATGCAGGTAAAGCAACCAACCTGTTCTGCGTTTGTTTGTCCACAAAGAACCTTAAAGTCCACCTTTCCTGCCTTTGCAAAACACTTCCTTGCAAGGGGTATTTTATGCTAATCTCTTTAAACACGGCAGTCATGACTGAGTTGTGTAAAGAAGAGATACTGTTTTCATAGTGGGATCACTTACAATTGGACAAGAGTGTGTCTGTTTATAAAATGAAAAAGAAATCAAGCAGGACAAGTGGACTTGAGACCTTTATAAAAAATGCTCAAATGTGCCTTGAAGTATCTGACTAGAGAAGTGGATTACAAGTGGAAGACTTGTTAAAATGCACAGACAGTGCTAACTGCAGACTCCTTGCTGCCCCCAAGCAAGCTGAAAGGTGTCCATCCTTCCCCAGCCACACACCCACAGGAACGAAATGCCCCCAATATTTTGTTGCCCCAGAGCAACTCACTTGCTCTGCCATTCCAGCACCCTCAACCCTGTCCACAACTCAGGGGAACTTTGGTGTGCCTGCCACGGTTACTGTGACAACCATGGGCAGCATAACCCTTTTTAGCACACCCTGGTTTGACAAGTAGCGGGCTGTGGTGGTAATGAAGCAAAGTCACACAGTCTGTGATGCTGCTGAGATGGATGGCTGTTCAAAAATTGAGCTGCCAGGGCACCCCTTCGTGTTTCTTGCCTTAGTTTTGTCGTCATTTCTTGAGCTGCTTGGTTAGTTCTCCCTCCCTGACCAACAGCACTGCTCCTTCATGCCCCAGCTCCTCATTCCTGACACTGACCTTCCTCTACACCGTTCCCGTTTTTGGACAGCTGTCACCCAGCTCTCCTGCCTCACCTCCCCTTCCTTCTGAATTTTCACCTCCTCCCACAAGAGTGTCTGTGCTGCTTTCCACCTTACACCTCATATTTAGGATGCAGTGCTGGAAGGTGTCTGTGAAGCCTGTGAACCTGGATGCTGCTCCCTAAGACCCTGGGAAACAGCAAACACAGAAGGCACAGAAATCATCTGAGGTACCTTTCCAGTTGCTGGAATTGGCAGAAACAAACAAAAACTGCCCTGGCTCTGACCTGCACCAGTGTAGATGTTGTAGGCTATTTAAACAGACATTTCTGAAAGGTTAGTCCAGAGAGAAAAAAAGCGATCCAGGGGTTTGGGCTCTGACTGTGGCTGTGGCAGAGCTGATTTAAATGTCTGTTCTTTCATAGACAGCCTGTGTAGATGTGGGAGTGTCACAGTCTCCTTATGCTTCAGATTCCCTTTTTATAAACGTGGGATTGTAGCATTTTTGTTGCAATGAGAAATGCAATAAAACATGAGTATGCCGAGACGTGTGATGATGGAGGGAGAGGGATATACAGGTATTTAGGCTAGATCTCTTTGTTATTTGCTTTTAAATGGTGTCTGTAGACTTAAGGTTGTCTATAGATTTAATGTTTTTCTTTCTGCACTTTCTCAGAAGCTGATGGCTCTCCAGTCTCTGAGATTGAAGGCCCTTTCACAACAGCAGATGTTGCGAGCAACTGTGTTTCCAGCGTTTCTTTCCACGAGCCCGTGTTGTGGATTGCCTCCTATGCTCTCATGAGCCTGTGTGGAGTGATCCTCCTCGTCCTGATCATCCTGCTGCTCATCCCACCCCGGTGCCAGCACCGCTACACGGACAATGACGTGGTCAATGACGAATCCTCCTTAGTGCGTCACCGGTGGAAGTGAGAGACTTGATCCTGAAAACCCTGGGACTCTCAAAAGAACAAAGAGCAGAGAACTTTGCCAAGGGGAAGAAGCCAATGCCTCGGTCCTTTCTACGTCCATTGCAAATTGCTGTTGAAATCCCACCAAATATCCTGCATCATAACTTTTATAGCTTTATTTTCTAACACTGATTCTGAACCAAAGCACTGTTAACCACCTCTGAAGTGCTACGGTACTGGATTTCCTACTGCAGTGCAACGAGCCTTTATGCTCTCAACAGTACCTTCTTTAAAAAAAAGTCTTAAAGAAAAAGATTTAGAAAAAAAAAAAATAAAAAACCACACCATCATGTTCTTCCACTGTCTGAACAAAATTGTCCATCTCTCTTTCACAAAAAGGACCTGTCAGTATTTTCTAACTAATCAAGCCCTGACTGTAGAAAAAGAGAAAAAAAAAACTTTAATAATCTTTCTTATTAATTGCATTAAATGAATCCTGCTTTCTGTTTACACCACTTTATTTTGAAACTGTGCTTATGGTGCGGGGGAGGGAGAAAAGTCAGGCAGAAAAGTAAGCAGCAGAGAGAAAAGCAAGTGAGGTCAAGAGGAAATGTTGGTTTGTGGTTTCTTCTCCTCAAGATCACTGCTGCCACTTGAGAGGGTCACCCTCCCTGAGTGTTACGAAACAGCTCGAGGTGGTGAAAACTGGGTAAACAAACTTGTTCAGCCTTAGTGTAAAACAAGACTACCTCTCTTAATTCACAAGGATGCTACCACTGGGGAGCGTGTGGCTTAGGACTGGTCTTGAAGCACAAGATGCTCCATCCAACCAAATGGAACTGCTTGGCTTTGAATTCTTAGGATTTTATAAAAATTAGTACTTTGTGACTTTCCACTTTGGTGCACAAACAAAACAAAACAAAAAAGGCCTTTCCAAAAAAAGGAGTTTTCCCCCTCGTGTGGGAATTTGTTTGTTTTTTTGAGTTGAGGCTGACTGATACCTAGAAAAGGCTGATCTGCATATGTATGGGCAGGCAATAAAGCAAAGGTCCGTGTTCTGTGATGTCTTTCTCTATTTCTAGTGAGTGTGTAACTAAAAGGAAACAACAAAATAAGAAAGACAACCTTTTTTTTTTTTTTGCTGAACTCAGCAGCTGTGAGTTCAAAAGAGAAGTATCTGTCTTTATGGACAGGCTGTGAAGTGAAAGTCTTAATGCTGGCTTGTTTTCCAACTCGAGCAGCAGTTGGAGGTGTTTAGTTTTAGCTTCACTGCTGTGTCAATCAAATGAAAAGTGTGTGTGGACTGACTGGCTGAAAACAAACATATGGTAAGACTGAGAACAATAGTGGGAGAGAGCAAGGAAGAGTGTATTTGACCAGATTTCTATTCTGCAAGTGCAGATCTTAATGCTGGGGTCATAACTTGGGCTTTTCTTTGCAGATAGGACAGTTTTTCTTGTCTCTAAGTCAGTGAGCATTGCAGGACCTCCGTGGCTTCTCTGTAACACTGGCCAGTGTTTGGATTTGAAAGATAATGCAAGGCTGAGGATTTCACTGATAATTATTAGTTATCTTGGGAGGTATTTTTATATATATGAAAAAAAGGAAAAAGTTATTCCTTTGCATTCTGATAGCAGAGCAGTTTGCATATCTGTGTGGGAAACCAGGAGAGGAAAAAAAAAAAGGAAGCTTAACTCTGAATTTCCCGATGCCTTGCCTAGACAGTTTTCTGCCTATAATCCCTTCATATAGCTCTCTGATTCACACTGCATCTGCATGGAATAAGGAAAGATTTTTGAGGGGGTTTTTTCAGGAATGGTGCATTTACAGAGGTGCACGTCATGTGTGTGAAAATAAAACACTGCGGGGGTATTTTTAACTGACTTGTGTGTTTCACGTCATAACTGGCAGGGCCTGTGGTTTTCTTTCCCTTTGAATACTTGCACTCTCAGATGGCTTGGCTCAAAAGAGTGAAATAATTGATGTGCTGATCCAACGTCTGAAAATTATTTCTCTTAGAATTCGGTGTCGGAAACAAACTTTTTTGTTTGGAATGTTTGAGTTTGTCTCCTTCTTCCTCTGCCTCTTGGTTTTTAAGAGGAGAAAAATTGTGAACCACAAGAAATGCAAGAAACCATGAAGCTTAGCTGTTTTCCCAATGTTCCATCTTCCATATCTCCTAATATCTCATAACTATAATTTTGAGTTCCATGTTGTCCTCCTGGGTTTGGCTTTACACATAACAAATAATTTTCAAGTCGTATTCCTTCTTTTTCTACAGTATGGTGATAGAAGTAATGCTTCTGTCTCTCGCTTTAAACAGAAACACAGTGAATTTTGGATTGATACAGTGTTAAAACAATAAACCCTTTTTCAATTCAGAAAGTAATAACACTTGTATGCTATTAAAAGGTTTCATCACTGCTTCCCTCACCCCAGCCCCTCCTATCTCCTTACCACAAAGAGTTTTAGGAAGGAATTTACTGGGAAAGGTTCTCAGTATGTTTCTAGTGCCAGCTGAGATTTCTTCTGAGTTGGTTAACAAAAGTCTTTTTAGTGCACTGGATTTCATATAAAAGCCTTTCAGTTTTACCCTTTCACTTTGAATGTCACTGGTCAAGATATTTTAATAAAAACACTTGAATTATAGGAGCAATAATCAAGCAGCACAGAGGAAATACTAATATATTCCTGAACTTTCATGGCACTCCTTGCTACTAACATTTGGCTTATAGTAAAAACGCTGTTAGTGACATCTGCTAGCAGCACAAACTTCATCTTAGCTTGTAAATTGATACTTACACTGGCAGATATTCAGGTGAGTATTGCTTTGTTGCTCTGGCAACAAGAAGAGCAATAGAAGCCCTTGAGGGTTCATTTTTAGCCTACAGCACATTAAGGAAAAATAATGCTCTTGAGCATTTTTGTGTGGAAGATGAAATACGGTGGCAGACTACAGTATTACCAAGTGTGTGTCACTAGTGATCTCTTTCCCTGATATCTTTAAAGGGAAAAAAAATACGCTGGGAGGTATTTTATGTTCCTGTTAGTAACTTCAGATGTAAGATTAAACCAAACCTTGGAAAAAAAAAAAAAAAGGGGAATGAGGGCACAAAAAAGCTGGAGCACTGAGTAAAAATGGTGCTGGAAAATATACTGTATTTATTGTGGAAGGCAGGATGCTCCAAGCCACAGCACTCCACATCATTCCTTGTACAGGGATCAATATTTCTTGCTGAACCAGCGTTTTTCTGATGTGGGTGTGATATCACATACCATGAGAGTGTCAGAAAGCTGTGTTTCATTGGGTGCAGCCTTTTAGGTAATTGATACTATCAGTGCAATCATGAGGGATTTGAAGGGATATGATCTGAGTTCCACTAGTTAAACCTGAGTTCAGGCAGGGGAATATGTTGGTTCTACCCCACTGCCTTCACAAGTTTTAGAAATGTTATCATGGGCTTTTTTGGCTCAATTTAAATGCTGAAGAAAATAGATGAAAGGTTGGAATAAGCCTTTTGTTCAGGTTCTGTAAAAGAAGTTAGGTAGAGGGGATTGTTTTGTTTTTAATGTGAAAGGGTTTTGTGTTTAGGATTTGTATGTTGGATCAACTCAAACACAATACATCAAGGCAGTGCAGCGTTCCAGTTCCCAGCTCTGATGCTGTGCAGGTTAACTCGTGGTGATCACAGAACTGTGGGGTTTGGGGTCTCTGGTTAAACACTTCAGGTGCCCAACAACAGTTAAATTTATCAGCTAAAATCAACCTATGAGCATCCTACCCAGTTCCTTTTTGTGTATTGGCTGGTTTTGCTCAAGGGTGAGCCATTTCCCTGCTAACCTTGTCCTTTTAAATATTAAAAGGTTTAGGAGAGTTACTTAACACAGCAGATTTTCCCAGAGAGAGAGGGAGAAAGAGAGAAATCCTTAAAGTTTCTGATAATCCAGAATGATTGTGCTGCTGAAAGCTTTAATTTCTGTAGGGCTTTCCATCAGCTAGGTTGGTTGGTTGTGATATCCTGATCTCAGACATATATATAGGTAGCAATATGAGCTGTGTAGTGAAGGGTGCTGGTACAGTGACCTATGGAGCTGCAAGTAAAAGGAAATTATGAAAAGAAAGAAGTAAGCTACCTTTAACTTCATTAAAAATTACAAGAGCATAACAGATGGATCCTTTTAAGAAAGGGCTGTACAATTTACCAAGACATTAGTTCCTGTCAAACTTGACTCTGTGATTGATAAATTGTTCTTTTCTGGCTGCTGTAGTTCTTGCTGCTGTTCAGAGAAGTGAAGACAGATTGGTAACGGGATACGAGCAATCTTCTGAGCCAGTTAGATTTTCTGGCTTCTGAGGCCTAATTAGATGTTAATCCAGGCTTGTGAGTAATCCAGCACCCTGGTAATAGCTCCTCAGGAATTTTAGCAGAAATAGAGGTGTTGGTTTCAGCCGATGGCCGAGGGCTGGATGAGATTCATCTGTCCCACAAAAGCCACTGCTATGACTTGCACTTGTGGTGGGTGAGCTGAAGGTGGCTGGAGTTGTGAAATGTGGAGAGGTCAAATGAGTCTTCTACCAGGCTTCCAGATCAAGGCTGAGGCCCCTTGGAAGAGCCAAATGGGAGAGTGACAGCAGTTGCTGACAAGCTGCTGTAGGAGCAACATCAGTCAGCCCCCAGGGTTCCCTTGCCTGAATATTTTGAAAACCAGCATTCTGAGGTGCCTGTTGGTGCTGCTGGGAATTGTCCACTCACAGATGAATAAGGAGCACTATCATCTTTAAGCAGAATCATTGCCCAGTTGCTGAATATTCCCCTCTCTGTATAACAAAGCACACAGTGCTGTGTCTCACCCCCCCAGCAATATCTGTTTGTAGGCAACAAGACACGTTGTCATAAAACATGTTGACATGCAATGACTGTACAGGAGTAATAAAAGAATGTTTTGTGTTTGCTTTGGGTGGATATTTGTGGTCGGGTAGTCTTTGAAATACTGGGAATTTTGCACTGGACTGCAAAGGCACATCCAGAGTTTCTTTTAAGTTGACCAAAAAGTAAAACACAGTAATTTTCAGCATTTAAAAGAAGTAACCCTCAATAAATATTGTCTCTTTTTTCTTTTTTTAATTGATGATAATCACCTAAAATAAATGTATGTTAGGGTAGTTGCTGTGCTACTAATTCTCTGGTTGTAAATCTGATTTTTCTGGTTGTCTTCTGGCCCACTCAACCCCTCTGCCCCCGCAAAAAAATTCCTAAAAGCTGAAGACCTCCATGTCCTTCTAAGAAAAGATGCAGATTTCTTTTTTACCATTCACAGACCTGTTTTAAAGTAGTTTTAAAGGCTTTAGAAATTAACTCCGAGTTGCAAATACTTGCAGGAGTATTAGGAGAAGAATTCGAGCCAAAACTTCATCTTTTCCAATGGTCCCTGAATTTTTCCTGCGTGCAAAGAACTCCTTTGTGCATTTGACTACATTTCCTAGACCTCTTTTGCTTCCTACTTGGAAATACTCTTGGTATTCCTCACTGGTCCTGTTTGTAAATTCTTTTTCTCTGTTCTTAGAAAATACAGGGGTGGAGAGAAGGACCACAAGGAGCTGTGGGAGTTGGTGCCATTCCTTAAGCAGGTGACAGCTTCTTTCTTGAAGGCCTTGGGTGTTTTTTGTCCAGCACCAACTGCACTGGACCATTATGGTCTGTTGGCTCATTTTGATGGCTGAGACACTTCTGCTCCTTCCACCTGAGCAACTCAACCTGCTCTGATTTTACAGCAAGGTGTACTTGGGCAAAACACTTAAATAAACATGTGTAACAATCCTCTGGTCACACCTCCCTTTGAGGAGGGAAATTTTCACAGAGCCAAGTCAAACCTGCAAAAGGGGATGTTGATTCCTGTGTTTTCAGGGAGGGATTATGTAGGTGAGTGTTTAAATGGCTGCGTTTGCAACATAGATGTCCTTTGAAAAATTCTGTGGGGGGAAAAAATGAACTTGAGGATGTCAAAGTGGTCCTAAAAAGACAACTGACAATTTCTTGGCAGCATGAAGGCATGGATTGCTGCAACATGTCCTGGAAAGAATTGCTTTGATGGTCAATACTCTGTGCATAAACTGTACAAAGCTGAGTGTTCAAATAAGTCTTAATCTGAAAAAGGCAGTTCACATTTTTTATTGAAAATTTTATATGGAGATGCAGAGATCTTTTAAAAATTTAATACTACATCAGTTGTTATTTTACAGTTATTTAGGAAGTGTGGAAAGGATTTCACCACTAAGGAAATTATTTCATCTTGTAGAGGTATTTCTTCACCTGTTTGTTTGTTTGTTTATTTTTATCAGATAATATTTTTAACATTGACTGAGAGGAAAATGGGATCAAAACATCGAAAAAACGTGGTATAGTCTTTCTAAGTCAGTCTTCAGGTGATGTTAGGGTGTCTATCCCACTTACTGTCAAGCCTCATTACTCAATTTTCAAAAAAAATTGATACTTTGTACTTTCAGGCCTTGCCGTTTTCAGATAAACACTATGTAAAAGATCAGATTTTATGCTGCTTAAAATAAATGATTAATTCTTTCAACCTATTCTGTGTGTCTTTTTAAACACTGTCAGGATGAACTTCAAAGCTGATAAATTATATCTGTCCAAATTCTTCCTGTGACTTTCAATTCTACCTTCTGGCTTTAGCTCTGAAGGGAGGGCAGAACTGCTTTAGATCCCATCTGAGCCTTGCAGGAAGGAGGCAGGCAAGTTTAGTTCCAAGGTGGTGATTTTTTTCCTACTTATTCCCAAATAAGCAGGAAATAAATGTTCTTGCTTCAGCTTTTCATCACTTCATCACAGTATTGGACAGAATCGGGCACAGAAAACATGAAGGTGAGAAGACGAAGCTTCTGATCATTTGGAAGGGATTCAAGTCACATTTTGGATTGTCGCTGTCTGCTTCACCGTGGATGAGGAAGGGACACAAATCGGTGTCCCTGTCCCCCAAGGCAGGGAGCCACCCCTTGCTCTGTGCTCCTTATCCCGCCAGGTGGAGCCCACGGTGTGTTTTTTAAACCGAGTTCTGAGCCCTTTCACAGCATTTTCCATTTCTTGTTTGAATTCTACTAAAAGTAGTTTCATGTTCTCTTTTAAATATCCTTCCTAAAAGGTCCTCACCTCAGGGTCTTCTGATCCTTGAGTCTTCCCTCCACCTAAAAGCCTCTTTAAAAAGTCCATAATCTTTACCTGAGCTTTTTGAAGGTAGCACAGTATATTGTGCCTGTTGGGAAATTTAGGGGATTGGTCAAGTAAACTGGTTTTGCTTGTTACTGTCCTGATATTCTCTATGTACTGCAACAGGTTGTCCAGAGAAACTGTGGATGCCTCATCCCTGGAAGTGTTCAAGGCCAGGCTGGATGGGGCTCTGAGCAATCTAGTGGAAGGTCAGGGGTTTGGAACTAGACTATCTTTCATGTCCCTTCCATTCTATGATTCTGTTATTACACAGCTCTGCTCACAGGGCCACTGTACAACTTCTCATTCTGGTGCTTAAACTGCTCTTGAAATTGCCTGTCATCTTCAGAGCACCTTTCGTGCTTCAGGCTCGTTTAATTCAAAACTGTAAAGGTGTTCATTCACACTCTTCTTGCTCATCTTTCCCCATTAAAACTTCCCTGTTTAGACAAAACAGCTTTTAAGTTTCTGTGTGAAACACAAAAGAAGTTACTGCAAGAATATGGCTTTTTTGGTAATGACAGTGCAGTGCAGACAAACATGTGAAGGTTTACAATTCAAGTGCTCAATAAAATTTTTCAGGACAATGTGTTATTGTGATGGCTGCTTAAACAGTAAACATTAACTATTCTTCCCTTTCTGCATCAAAACAAACTCTTTAAAAATAAATGGTTTATTATTTCTTTTTTTTTTTCCTTCTAGAAGCTTACAAGTACCATATACCTATACCTTGACCCATCATTTGTTTTTCTAGGAAATTCAGTAGCATTTCCCAAGAAATACAGGTTATTGTAAAGACTACGAGGATCTATGCTGCCAGTACCTACACATATATTGGTATATTGGGGTTTTATAGTTGGT